GAGTCAAATCCTGGCCTTTGGAAATGTGACTAGGTACTGCAGGTAGCTATTTTGTCCCCCTTTGTTAGGGAGCTCCCTTTGGGCCTAACATTTCAGTCTTTGTTGATGACAAGGGGCAATGTGATCTCTTCCGTAACTACTTCCTGCTGAAGTTAAGATATTGTCCTTAGAGTCCAGGAAGGCTGGAGTGCTGGCCAAGGTCCAGGAGGGGATTAGGGAGATGAGGCATACATCTGCAGCATCTGGTTCACTGACCCAGTTGAAGAGACAGGGACTCACATTGAGTGACCTTTTTATACCAGCTTTCAGCAAGTCCATGGCTTTCCAGTTCTGTAGAACAACCTTGGGCTGGCATGGTGTAAACCATTTTATGGGCAGTTTGTAGTCTGCAGCTGGATGGTGTCTGCCTGCTGGGACAGATGTAGACTAGAGACCTAAGCTAAAGTTTAGGATCTTAAAGGAAATTTTACGTTGAGAACTTCCAGACCCATGCTAGTTGGGGGAGGAGAGTAGACTCCAGATTGGGGGGGGGGGGTAGATCCTGCCCTCAGGAATAGGCAGGTGAGGAAACTTAGGCTGTTGATTGACAGGAGTACTTATTCTGAGTCCATTTGAACTGTGAGATGTGGACCCAAGTCTTATGATTCCCTTGACTCCCTGAAGCTTACATGCATTTTTTAGTTTACAAAAGTGATCAAAGTTTTAGATATATGAGTATTACCACTGTCTGCAATCTGTACTGAAATCCTTGTTGTAGAAATCCTCATTGCAGCTAACAGGTGTCTATAAACAGCTGGAGTAGACTCACGCCTTTGAGTCAGAGCCAAAGCTAGGGCTTTGGGTTGAAAAAGCATGAATACTCTTCTCTCTGTCTACAGAACTGGGAAAATTGGACAGAGATGTCTGTCTTCTCTGTCTACGAGACTGGACATATAGATTGGACAAAGATGTTTTCAGCAATATGAGAAGCACCTTTATGTTTAGACAACCAAAGGAAATTTAAAATCTTAAACTTGTGACTGATAAGAGTAGTCAGTGTTGGGCTAGAGAGACGGCCCAGAGGATAAGAGCACTGGCTATCTTTTTAGAGGTCCTGAGTTCAATTCCCAGCAACCACATAGTTCACAAACCATCTATAATGAGATCTGGCTCCCTCTTCTGGTCTGCAGGTATACATGCAGGCAGAACACTGTATACATAGTAAATAAATAAATCTTTTTTTAAGAAAAACAAGCAAACAAACAAAAAAAAAAAACGAGTAGTCAGTGCCTTATGAGCTTTTCAGAACTCCATTGATCAACGTTAAAACTCCAAACCTTTGAAATCTTAGTATAATAATAGCATAGCTGGTGAAAGAAATCTGGAACATTCCTTTTTCATCAACCTTAAATCACTTTCTCATGCCTTTACAACTTGCATTTACATAACTTAAAATAGTTTTTAGGCCCTCAGGACTTACTTAAGCTTTCACATCCTCAGAGCTTTATGCTGTGGGACAACGGTCTGCACACTGTCACTTGTATTTTAAATAAATGCCAAGTGACCAGTAGCCAGGCAGTAATTATAGGCAGGGCGACCAGGCAGGAAGTAGAGGTGGGGTGATGAGAACAGGAGAATTCTGGGAAGAGGAAAGAGTCAGTCTGTAGGTGTCACCCAGACACAGAGCAAGCAAGATGTAAATGACTTGCCGAAAAGGGTACCAAGCCATGTGGCTAACACAGACAAGAAGTATGAGCTAATATAAGTTATAAGAGTTAATAAGAAGCCCGAGCTAATAGGCCAATCAGTTCACAATTAATGTAGACCTCTGTGTGTTTCTTTGGGACTGAACGGCTGCAGGACCAGGCAGGACAAAAACCTCTGCCAAAAGCTCTACACACCTTAGAACACTCTCTCAGATCCTGAGAGGTTACACAAACTTAAAACCTTCTTTTTAAATGCAGTCATTTACCGTGAGACACAGGTGGTTATTACTGAGAGTAGTCATTGCAAAGCAAATTCCTCTAAATAAAAGAATAGTAGTAGTTACACCTGAAACCTGTTTTCCCTTTCATACAAAGCCTGTTATCAAGGCAAATCTGACTGGGAATTTGCCTTTTTTTTTTTTTTAATCAGGAGACCTGATAGCTCTAGAAAAAGCAAGGCCCGATTCCCACTTATGCTATACATTGACCAGGCAGCTGCAACCTTGGGGGAGAATCTAGGTGCTTGTTGCTGCCGAACTCACAAAGCCACAGTTAGCCATCAACACTAGCCAAGATCCGAGAAGGACAAATTATAACAGGAAGTATAAACTAAATGGCCTCTGTCTCTATTAAAATGACAGACACTTACCAGCCACCTGGCTTTCAGATCTCAAAAAGAAAAAAAAACCCAAAACAGAACTGTGTGCCTCAAGTGTTCCCTCAGTTACAAGAGTTTGTTTCCTGCTGAGCTCTTCCAACAAGTGCTGCTAGATCCTGCTAAAGATGAAAATGGAGTTGTTCAGGCTAAACATTCTCATTGTCTGGCTGAACCCAAGCTACCTACCCAGCCTCCTGAGACATCAGGACAGAACGGAGGAAACAGCCAAACTTCCCTAATATTCCAATTTCAACAGTCAACAGCGTGATAGCTTCTGTCTGCCTTCCTTCTCTCGGATGGTACCCTGAAGTAGCCCCATCTGAACTAAGCAGCCCCTGCCTATTGTTCTGTCTCCGATTGTTCTTTACAATGAAAATAACTGAAATTCATTCCTTTTCTGCCCCTTTGTTTCTGTTGTATTTAACTTTCCTCTGTCCACAACACCGACCTCATCTGCTCAGCCCCAGGGAACACTTACTCTGTTTTATGGAATGAAGTGTTGCCTGATTCTAAAACTGAAAATAATGACCTCAGCTGAGGTCATTAAACTGAATTGTTGTAGTTTAGGCCTTTGACACCAGTCTCTTGGAAGCCCAGAAATCAGCTGTATTCAATCATGGCTCCGTTGAGGTTACATTGAGTTGGTCTTCCTCCTGCTGCTCCAGCTTCTCTTCCTCAATAGTCTGTTACCCTCCACTTCTCCTTTATGCATTCCTCCCCTCCCCCTCTTGCTCTCCTCCTCCTTCCTGTCCCCCCCCATCCGACTCCCCACTTCCCGCCTCCCCCTCCTCTGTCTTTCTCATTCTTTGGCTTTCTATATCAGTCTCCTGTCCTCGGATGCTCCACGTATGACAATGGCAGCAGTTTGCTCTGAGATGTGACCTCTTCTGTGTCCACAGAAAAAGAAAGCCCATCCCCACACCAGCATTTTAACGCAAAGAATCTCAGGCTTGGCCAGACCTGTGTGCATGCTACCAGTGCGGCTGGAGGAGCGGTGACAGGCAGAAGAGGAAGTGGCGGTTTTCCCGGCGGGAGGGATGCTGTGCAAATGGAAACAACATGTGTCTGCCATCAATGCCTACCTAGGGCTTTCTCTAAGAAGTGAAGGGAGGCTGCTCACCCTTGATAGGGAGCTACTTCCTGGCCTTTCGATGGAAGCTTCTAGATGGAGCTAGATTGTGATCGTTTAGTGGTTTGATTCTGATCATAAACTCATGAAAGATGGACTGCACTTTAATCTTTGAGGCAAAGATATGAGTTAAGTCGAAGATGGTGATAAAAGCACCCATACTCAACCTGACACATCTGATCAGCGGAGCAGGGACTGAAGATGAATTTTCCTACTTATTCTGGCTGTTAGCCAAACGGGAATTGTAGAAATTTGTTTGCAGATGAAATGCTTCAACCTAGGAAGGGGAGTGTGCTGTACAGTAAGGGCTAAGGCTGCAGGTCTCCATCTTGTAGAGGCAGGAAATGCTTCAGGCAGTACGCATGTGTACCTTGGTGTACCTGTGCCTGTGGGAATTCCCTGAAGACCCTCATTCCACATGAAAACGCATTGAATGCATTAAGACATTGGGCAATGCTGAGCATTGTTAGAGCCTCATTTATTTATTTATTTATTTTTGAGACAGGGTTTCTCTGTGCTGGAACTAGCTCTGTAGATCAGGCTGGCCTTGAACTCACAGAGATCCATCTGCCTCTGCCTCCCCAGTCCCAGGATTAAAGGTGTGCACCACCACCTATTTCTCTTCAGGTCATGTAAATCTTTTGTCTTTTACTCAATAATTTTTTAAAATTTATTTTTTTTAAAAAACTATCCTTTCTCATTTTACATATCAATCCCAGTTCCCACTCACTCCCTCCTCCGTTCTCTTGGCCTTCCCCTCACCCCAAGCCCCATCCACTCCTCAGAGAGGATATGGCTTCCCATGGGAAGTCAACAAAGTCTAGCATACTGTATAGCCTCAATTCTTAAAGAAAGGGAACACATTTTCTGTGTTGGGCATTAATCGATTTGTTTCTTTGTTTAAAATTCTTCTTCTGGAAAAGAAGCAATGATCAAAATTTAAGGGGAAAATCCCAAGTTGCTCTTGCTTCTGTAAGGTGCATTAGCTTTACGTCCCCTCAGACGAGGAGTGGGGTGTGGCTGGAGCACCGGAGAGTCTATGGAGGAAGGAGGGGAAGGAAACGCGGTGAGTCCCCTTTCAGATCACAGGAACGCAGCATCGGACATCATCAGCGCTGCTGGGGGAAAAGCAACGGAAAGCTTTAAAGTGGTTCCCTTTCCTGACAACGATTCTTTTCATTTCACAAACTGGATTTTAAGGCTAAAAGCAACAGTGAAACTGTGAGCCCCTTAAAGTGAGTGGTAAAGGCATTACACAGGAAGCACAAAGTTATAAATACATGCGATTAACTAGGAAACCACTGGCGGAAATGAAGACAACCTCATGTCCCAAGCTTCCTGACATCCTCCACTGATTTTGTGAATTTCCTCTCATTATTTTTCAGTGTGTTTATTTTAAAGGAAGTTTCTGGACAGGACAGAAACAAGAGCTCTTACCTACACACACACACACACACACACATATGGTTTAAAATGTGTTTCTTTCACAGTATTATTCCATATCTTTTGTCTCATGACCTATGACTAGGTCCCTGGTGGACATGTGGGTTCTGGTGAGAAGCCGAGAACAGAGAAGGCATGACTCATGGTGCGGAACCTGTGACAAGAGCATCAAGGTCATCAGTGAGCACTAACTGGGTCATCGGGAGGGACCATCACTGTGACAAACCCATGCTTATCACAGGTCATGTGTCCATGATTCTTTCTATAATGTTTCCTTGCATATGTGTGTGGTACATGCATGTGTATATGAATGCTCACATATATGGACACATGTGAGAGCGTGTGTGCGTGTGTACATGTGTGTTTCTGTGGTGTATATGTGTGCTCATGTATATATGGGCACGCATGTGTGTATGTGTGCTCACATATATGGGAACATGTGTGAGATTTGTGCGTGTAAACGTGTGCTCATGCACATATGGGCACACATATGTGAGAGTGTGGGTGTGAGTGCATATGTGTATTGTGGTGTATGTATATGCACGCTCATCTATATATGGGCATGTGTGCATGTGTTTGTGCAAGCATGGTCATGTATATATGGATGCACACATGTGTGCATGGGTGTGTGTGCATGCATGTATGTGTGTGTTCACTTATATATGGACATGTGTGAGAATGGGGATGTGTGCATGTGTGTGTTTTGTGTGTATATGTGTGCTCATGTACATATGGGCACATGCGTGAGAGTGTGAATGGGTATGCACATGTACATGTGTGAACGTATATGCATGCAGAGGTCGGTGTTGACATTGGGAGTCTTCCTGAATTGCTTTTCACTTTATTTCAGTGAGGAATGTTTCTCCTTGAATCTAAGACTTTCCCATTCTAGCGAGTTCAGCCAACCAACTTGCCCTGAGGGTCTCTGCCTGAACTCTATGTGCTGGGTGTCCAAAATCTAGCCCTCCCACCTGCAACAAGTGATTTATCCACAGAGCCACACCCTCAGCCTGCCTATGTATTTCTTGAGACATGGTCTTCCTGTATAGCCTAAGCTAGCTATGCTATGAGCCAACTCTGGCTTCAGACTCAGAATCCTGCTTTGTCTCACAGGTTGTGACATTTTAGGTGTGAGCCACTATGCCTGGCCCAGGGTTCTCAATAGCAGAATGTCTGCTGTAGATTAACGTTGTGTTTTCAGTGGTCATAGGTCATTTAGTGAATCATTAAATTAAGTTCAATGAGAAGAAATAAACTCAATGTTACAATATCCTGGTCAGGTGACTATTAACCCCATTTTATAGGTGAGGAAGTTAACACTTAGGAAGCTAAATAACTGGTCCAAATCCATAGTACTATCTCAAGAAATAACAGAGAGAGCCGGGTGATAGTGGCACATGCCTTTGGTCCCAGCACTTGGGAGGCAGAGGCAGGCAGATTTCTGTGAGTTCGAAGCCAGCCTGGTCTATAAGAGCTTGTTCCAGGACAAGTTCCAAAGCAACATACAGAAACCCTGTCTCGATAAACCAAAAGAAAAATGAACAAAAGAGAAAGAAAGAAGAGAGAAAAGGGAAGAAGGAAAGAAAGAAAGAAAAAGAAAGAAAAGGAAAAGGATTTATGAAAATAGTTGGGCAATATTGTGTTGAAATTAGGTTAAATATCAGTCTGTATCACACAAAGCATCCACATATAAATTTTATTGGCAGTTTAGACCATTTGACAACTTCTAGAAAACCTTCTGCAAACTGTAAAGTACTATGCCAAACTCCTGTATGTGAGCATGTATATGCATGCACACACATGCATCAGACCTGAAGAAAGGAACTCTTGGTCTTGTTACCATCCACAGAAATTTAAACTTTTATCTAAGGCCTAAAATTTTCGAGTGACTTCTTTGATAAGAGAGAGTTTCATGTTTTAAAAAATGTGAAATAGTAGTATGCACTTCACAGTCTATATGGGAACTATTCCATATGTCATGTGATCCTTCAACAGTCTACAGAATTTACGTGTGGACTTTGTGCAACGCAGGCTGTAAGCATGGTCACAGCTGATAACGACTGCTTATCAACAAGAAAGCCAACACATTTGACCACAGTCCAATAGTATAAAAGTGCTGTTTATAGATAATCTATTTCTAGCTCTCAAGGAAGCAATGTCATCACTAACTGGTTGCTGTGCAGGTATTCAGCAGCTTCCAAAGGTTAAACTTGATAGTGCAGTCAGTACATTGTCTCTGAAACACCCAGGTCTTTTCAAAGTCATAGTGGTGCTCCTCGGACGCCTTCGTCACTTCGTAAAGAGACATAGTGGCATGAGGCTTCTTACAACTGCGTGTGAGTGTCCAGTTGCCTACATCAACATGACAACTTCTTTTAAAAACTCACTGTGGGGATGGAGAGATGTCTTAGTGGTGAAGAGTGCTTGCTGTTCAATCAGGAGGATCTGAGTTCAGATTCTCCCACCCATGAAACACACACACACACGCACACATGCAACCAAACACACACACATACTTCAAAACACCAAAATAAATTTTTTTTGAAAATTGCTATGGCCACTTCAGGTGTTAACATTCAAATATTCTCACTTCTTCTTTTGCTTCTTCTTTTCTGGGAAAAGCAAACACATCTCACAGACAGAAGCCCTTCCGGTCTGGGCTGGTGCCCTTTATGCAGTTTCATAAGACCCATAAGCTTGTCACGTTCCTGTCAGAGGTACTTTTTGGTGATCCCAATCAGTTTTTAAATAGGTAAACATTTTTTTTTTAAAGAACAAAAGAGAAAATGGCAGGATGTACCACAGACGGGAAAGAGATATTCCATCAATATTTTGAGTGTTTATGCCTATTGCGCACATTCTGAGTGAGACACTTTATTTTCAGGGACCATTTCTATAGGTCATAACAAGCTTTGGAAGCTTTGAGTATGACTTTTTAATGAACATGCAAGGTTATTTTAAATGTTTTATTTGGGGGTCACAGCGTAACTGAAACTCTTGGGCTTATTGATCCTTTTGCCTCTGCCTCTGTACTCTGTACGAGTAGGACTGCAGGTGTCTCCCCTGTGCACATGAGGGAATTACTAGAGGTCCCGTGGACATGGATGGACTAGAAGAACAATTAGGAATATATGCTTCTTTATGCCCTCTCAACAGCTTTGAAAGCAAAATAGGAATTCCCATGATTTTTCTGAAGGCAAGGGAGAAATGATAGTATCTTCCAGTAAACACACACACCTTTATTCACTGTAATTGAACCACATGACTATTCTTGAGTCTATTACTGACGGGGGGGGGGGAGATGATGTTATGTAGACTAATTAGGCTACTCCTTGGAACTGTCACCAGCCTTTTTTAGGCTCATGCGTGGGTGGGAGGAAAGGAAACAAAGAAAGGAGGACACTTTGTACAACAAGCAATCAAGAGCATTGGCTGTGTTTAAACTCGTAAAATCTTCAGCACCATACCCTAATAGTGGATTGGTCGTTGAACCTTTTCATCAGCAAAGCAGTTTCATCTTGAGAAACGGTCATTTTCCTAATCACAGGAGAATGCCTCCAAAAGTGTTTAAAACACAGCAAAGAAGGCAAGGGCTTCTATTTTGTTTACCACCAAAAGAAATTTCAATTTTTCCTGCAAATAATAGGCTGTATTCACTACCAGAAAGACAACAGCCATGAGTGACCCATATGGCAACAAGCCAATGTCAGAGAGCAGCGGTCACATCGCCACGCAGGGCGCTGATCCTCTCTCCGATCCCTCCCCCCACTGAGAAGTTGCCCTTCAGCGTTATGCCCATGTGTGCTTGCCAACTTTCTGCATCATGACACAAAGACACTGCTGGCTAGGATCACCGTGGCCTGAAGAACAGCAAGCATGAAGCCAGCCAGGCTTACATGAAACGGAGTTTGCGGAATGGCTGTGCCGTTTGGAAAGTTCCCTTTATGAGAGGCAAGCAGAAAGTCAACAGCCCACAGTTGCTCAAATCCGAGCTTTGGTTTCCTTGCCACAGCCGGCCACTTCCCCCCCGCTCAGGAGAATTAGCGTTAAGTTGCATTTTTAACTATGTCCCTAGGGGAGTGTTGAGCAAGATGAAAAACATGCCTGGTCACCAATAAATCATTTCTGGAAATGGGGCATTTCAGGAAAATTAAACAAAGCAGAGAAAAGCCTTAGCTTGCAGTTTATTGTTATAGAACTTGAGTGATAGTTTTCCTCCATGCTTAGACCAATACCAAGCAGGAAACAGGGGGTGGGGAAGCAAAAATCCTGCCCAGAATATAGAAGAGGACAGACGATAAGATCATTGTCCTTTGAAACGAAACCTCGGTGGCTAATTCTTTAACCCTTTCCCTACTCTGATAATTGGTAGACATTCGATGATGAAGAGATACCTCCGAAAAAATCCCCACAAGGGTGGAACACAACTTTTCATAGGTATTCTAAAACTCAGCTACTTTCCAAAATAACTACCTTCCCTTGTGCCCTGGCTGTAACGTGCAGGTAAATTGCTCTCCCTGGGATCATTGTGGAGGATACGGTGCATGGAGAAACAGTGTGTGGAGCTCCTTCAGCTGATGTCCGGAAATACTTTCTGTGGGTTGAAAAATCAGACTTCCCCTTCGGGCCCTTGTGACTTTAGATGGGCAAACGGTGTTGTGGGTCTTCTACTTTTCTGTGGTCCACAATTCCTACACCTGGTTGTCTCCTAATTGCTGCTGTTGTATCTATCACAACGGTGTCAGCCCAATTGATGAGCGGAGCTCATTGCTGGCTGCCTCCATAGCAACCCTCTGAGGATGCTCTATGACCTCCCCGTGAGCCCATGATGAACAAAGGCACATCGTCATTTCTCTTATTTTAATATTTGCCTACCCCAAATGGTAAAGAACTGGTCAGAAATCAGAAAATATTTTAGCAAGTCAAAGGTTAGTTCTGTTCGTTAAATGCCTTACTGACGTTACTGACTTTGAAGGCTTATTCCTGTCATCCACCTTGAATAAATCACTGTGTTCTCTCAATTTCTATTTTATGCTGCAGAAAATTGATATTGCTAGGATGAGTATATTCCTTTTTAAAAAGTAGTATTTTTTAAATTCTTTGAGAATTTTATACTGTGTATTTTTGTTATATTGATCCCCAACTTATCCCATATCAATCCTCTCTACCCTAACCTCCCTACTCACTCAACTTTTGAGGTATCTCCCCATCCCCTGTCCACACTGAGTTCAGTTTGTGTTGCTCGACTATCTTGGGAGAGAGTCCTGCCCTGGAAGTCACCTACCTGGAGCCATGTCACTAAAGGGTCACCTACCTGGAGTCATGTCACTAAAGGAAGTTCACCCTCCCTTTCCCAGAAGTTAATAGCTCTCCAGCTAGTGATGGGATTTTGTCTGTTACATTCATGTGTGTAGCTGTTCTTTTGTGTTTGGAAAATACTCTTTCCTTGAAGTCACGCTACCTCCGGCTCTCACAATCCACGCACCCCATGATCCTTGTGGGGAGGGGTATGGCATAGACCTCCCATTTGGGACTGAGCCTGCCACCATCTCTCACTCTTTTCTCATTGACCTGTTGTAGGTCTCTGTCGATTGCCGTTGACTACAAGAAGAAGCTTCTCTGATGGACCTTGTGAGATGCTCTGATCTGCAGGCACAGCAGTAAGCCATTGCGCATCATTTTAATAGCCAGTCCATTTGCAGGGTAACAGTATTAGAGTCTCCCAGAGGGCCCATGACCTACTTAGCCAAGGCTTCTTGGCCCTGTTAACAGTGCCAAGAATGGATTCCATCTCATGGAACGGGCCTTGGGTTTGGTCAGAAACTGATTGGTGGTGAGTACATTTTTAGAACAGAAGGGGATTCAGGAAGCCTGGGTGTATGTGACTGAAGAACCTCTTTAGTACCAAGATTTGAGAATAACTTAAAATGTCCAAGTCTGCTTAGGGCATTAACTAGGGTCATAAGGAAAGCCTAGGGCACTGACCTCCATTGCCTCTGTGAGCCCTTCAGGTCTCGGAAGCCATGGCTTTGTGAGTATACAGATACCTGTTGGTTGTCCATCATGGCGGTTGAAGAAACCAGTTTGCACTGGCTGGGTGGCACAGACTATGCGTACAGCAACAGGCCAGCACAGTCCTTCCCATCTGCATGGTAAACCTTTGACAAGTGACCCTAAAGCACTAGTTTTTGATTCTAACATTATCCAATAACTCTTGTCAGATAGAGAGATCATGCCACAGCAGTATATTGTACGGTTTATTTAGCATGTCTAGAAGGAGTGGTGGTTTGCATAGCTATGACCCCACCCATAGACTCCTGTGTTTGAATGCTTGGCCCCTAGGGAATGGCACTTCTAGGAGGCATGGCCTTGTTGGAGTAGGTGTGGCCTTACAAGAGAATGTGTGTCACTGTGGGGGTGGGATTTGAGGTCTCATAAGCTCAAGCTACACCCAGTGTGTGATGTGGGAGTGTCATATCAATCTGTTGATTTCATTGGCTGAGCAATAAAGAAACTGATGGCCCTGATAGGTTAAAAGATAGGTGGGCGGAATAAACAGAATAGGATGCTGGGCGGAAGAGGAAGTGAGGTCAGACTCTGCGCTGCTTCCAGAGGGACCGGACAGCCGCCATGTTCTGCTCTCCCAGGCAGCTGCAACCCACGATGGACTTAGGCTAGAATCTTCCCAGTAAGCGCACCTTGGGGTGCTTACACACATCATTAGAAATGGGCTAGTCCAGGTGCGAGAATTAGCCTGTAAGGGTTAGAGTTCATGGGCCAAGCAGTTCTTAAATGAATACAGTTTGTGTGCTGTTATTTTGGGCGTGAGCTAGCCAAGCGGCCGGGGTGTTGGGGACGCAGCCCCGCTGCTCCTATTTCAACAAGTGTGGTATTCTCTTCTATGTTCTGTAGATCAGGATGTAGAACTCTCAGCTCCTTCTCCAGCACCCTGCCTGCTTGCATGCTGCTGTGCTTCCCCCAAGAAGATAATGTACTGAACCTCTGAAACTGTAAGCCAGTCCCAATTAAATGTTTTCCTTGATAAGAGTTGCTGTGGTCATGGTGTCCCTTCATAGCAATGGAAATCTTAATTAAGACAGAAGGAAATCTATTACCTTTACGTTGTAATTTGGAATTAAACTTGTTATTCCTGTCATCCTTCATCTGTCTGTGTGTTTAATTATGTATGCCCTTGGCTTTGTAGAGGATTAAGAGAGTGGGTGATGTTTTCCCTTATATTATACAAAAATTAGAAGAGAAAACTATGACGCTCCCGCGCAGGAATACTGCAAACATCCCACAAACAGGAAGACCAAAGGGCTTTGCTGCAGTTCACCTTAACCATGGGTGGTCAGGCTCATCCTCTGTCCTCGTTAGGTCAGACTCTTGTCTAACTGGGTCCAAACCAAGAGATGTCTTCATTTGCTGCAACAAGAGAAAGAGGGCATCCTTTCTCTTGCTGATTTCACATTGCCCCGTGTGTGAGCACGCATGCACTCATATGTGTGTGCGTGCGCGTGTGTGCACACATGTGTACGTGCATGTGTCCATGTGTCTGTGAACATCTGTGCGTGTATGCATGTGTGTGCACATGCTTGTGTGTGTGTGTGTGTGTGTTGTGTATGTTCAGTCACTCTCCACTTTTATTTATTCAGACTGGGTCACTCACTGAACTGGAAGCTTTGCCAATTCGTCCTCCTCTCTGCCTCCCCAGTGCTAGGAATACAGGCGCACTTCTGTGCCTGGCTTTTCCATGTGGCTTCTGCAGATCTGAACTCAGGTCCTCATACCTATGCAACAGGTCCTTTACTGACTGAGCCATCATCCCAGTGGCTGCCACGGATCCTCTTTAACAGTCTCTGCAACTTGCCCTGTTAATTCTTGATGGTCTTCTGAAACAGGTTTCCTATTTCAGATTTCAGACTTCTGTCTACCTTCAGAGTCTCTCCATACTTCCGGCCTGGCTGTTCCCTGGAGACCCAGGGTCAGCCTCATCACCACAGGCTTTATTTACTACAAGCGTGCTAAGCGGAAACTCTCACCTAAACCCCTCCGCAACTCTATGAGGTGAATGCTGTTATTCCGCTCTTGTGGCGGTTGAGAAAGCGGGACAGACAGGACGCAAACCCAGGCAGTCTCTGAGCTGCTGTCCTCCAGTTCCTCCCTCCTCACACCCAGATAGAGGATGCGGCGTGTGGGTGAGAGGAGCCTGGCATAGGATAGAGCCCACTGCACGGAAGTACTCTGCCTGACCCCGAGGTTTTCCGAGTTCTTTCAGTGGCAAGAATTTTTATTCATTTTCGCTGTGCTCAAATTAGCTTTTGATTATTTTATCCACACCAAACGCCAGAAACTGCCCAGACTGTGCTCACTAGCGGCTACCACGGCCCCCGACAGTTGTTTACAGGAAGGGTTCTGCGTGGCCTCGGCCGCGTCTAAGCGAAGTCATCTTAGGAAAAGTGAAGAGCCCCTGAAACGGAACTTTTAAAAATGATAAGCTTTGTGAGCATTCACTTTTATAGCCCTGTAATCTTTATTTTCCTGATTTCTGTTAGCCGAAAACAAGAGCAGTGATAGAAAATACTTCTTTAGGAATATAGCCGTCTATAAACAAAACCCAGGCACGTCTACTCATAATTTCACTACAAACAAACTGGATTTGAAGGGGAAGGTGGCTATGGACAGACCACAGGATTCCAAGCGCTTTATCAACTGGCAAATTACGTTCTACAGACTTGGAAAGCGCTTTATGTGTGTATGTCATATCCAAAACATAATCACACAAAAAACGAATGGATGAAAGATGTGGTTTTTTGATACATCTCTTATAAGATCAAAAGAACAGAAAATACTAAATGTAGATTACTTTATGAACTTCATGTTGGCTGTGGTGTGTTAGTGTATGTGTGTATGTGTGTGTGCACGTGCGCGCATGCTTGCGTGCATGTGCTCAGGTACATGTGTATGCATGGGTTTGCATGTATGGAGTTCAGAGTTTAATACTGGATACCTTTCTCCATCATCAATCACTTTTCACCTTATTTCTTAGGAAAGGGCTTCTTGCTGACCCTGGAGCTCACTGACTCAGCTAGACTAGCTGTCTAGGAAGCTTCAAGGATCCTTCTGTTCCAGCCCAGCCCTGGGATTACACTTAGCTCTTGACGCTTGTGTGGAAGTACTTCACGGACAGAGTCAGGCTCCCAGCCCTTTTATGGTGGCTTTTAAAGGGTGGATTTCCAGGATTTCCGGGCAGTCTAAATAGTGACACTTCAGAGCCAATAAAAGTCTTTCCGAGGAGAAATCAGAGCAAGATGAGAGCCGGAAGTAGGCTTGTCCCTGACTGGTGGAGGGAGAAACATTGTCAGGGAAGAGGAACCTTCTCATCTCACGAAAAGAAGAAATGAAGTGAAAGTCACCACGTGGTGGGAAGATGACAGACTTACTCAGACCTGGTGTATTTGGCCGGGAGTTCTGAGCAACAGAAACAGGAAGGAAGTGGCTTCTGTATAACATGTGGCTTCTTAGGAAACCTGTGGATGGAGTACAGGCTAAGCCCAGTCTCCTCCAGCCTCAGGTTCTTCCTGAAGGAATCTTGAAACACACTGAGATTTCCTTTAAAGAGAGAGAGAGAAAGAGAGAGAGAGAGAGGGAGAGAGAGAGAGAGAGAGAGAGAGAGAGAGAGAGAGAGAGAGAATTTCCACTACTAGAGGATTAAAAGAAAAAAAAAATGGCCACCACCCAAACAGAAGGTTCTGAGTGGCGGGGACCTGGCTGGTCTCTTCTGTGAGACCCAGAGGCGCAAAAGTTGCTCAGGGAAGATTCGCTTAACAAACAATGCTGGGCCCAATTATTGAGCACCGCCAGAGAAATAATTGGGAGTTTTTTTTTTTTCTGCTATCCATATGAACAATGATGACAGAAAGAAGGACAAGAAGTGGGGGGGGGCGAGTAGAAAGGGGAGTTGGGGAGATGGCAAATGAGAAGACAGCAGTCACTCCTCGCCTGTTATGACAACTGAGTTATTTTTGTTCATATCTATTTTGTATTTGTGACTTCTTGCAGGAAAGATGTCAGATGACTATGACGAAATAGTCATGTGTTTCGGGTGGTATACGTGTGTGTGTGTGTGTGTGTGTGTGTGAGAGAGAGAGAGAGAGAGAGAGAGAGAGAGAGAGAGAGAGAGAGGGGGGAGCGAGAGAGAGTCTTCTGGTTGACACAGTGCTATCATGTCATGCAGCTGAGTCTTGGTTTGAGGTCGACTTTAATTCTTCCCACTTCTCCTGACTCAGCAGTAAGTATTTAGAATTATAAGGAGCAGGATTAGCTCACCAACAAAACAGCCCTTCCCTGCCTAATAACACAGCTTAGTCATAAACAAGAGGCAGACAATCTGGGAAGGCCACACACCCCTTCAGAAATCTTAGGGCATCTAAATTGGGAGCTGGTAGGTAGTCTTGTAAACAAATTCTAATTACCTTCCAGCAAAACCCCAAACTGCTTGTTTGAGGGCTAGAAGACGTGGATCCAGATCAAAATCAAAAGCCACATGATTACTAAAATAGCCAAAGCAGAGACACAGTCGTTACCGGAAACTCATGAAGCTTCAAAGCGGGGTTAAATAAAGGAAAGGCTACATCCAGAGGAGCTGCTGGCATCGCCTGTCTGTACTGGAAATGTCGACATCCTCCGCGGAGGAAGAGGAAGGAGCTAGAGGTGCCAGACAAGCAGCTGGACCATGACAAAACAGGAAACAGTACTGCTGATGACAGCGCACCGCAAACCGGGAAGAGCAGAAGCATCAAAGCCACGGGGCCGCCGAAGACTCGAGCAGGGACAAAGCGAAAGCCAGAAGCAACCCCGCGTTGCGTACACACGGGCCAGTGGGTCAACAAAATCCGTTTTTCCGTTGAAATGATCCAGAAAGAGACTGAGCCCCCCGTGATCATTCCAGGAATCGTCTATTGTATTTTGTGTCAGATCAAACATGGCTGTAAAGAGCAGCCATTCGAATGTGAGAGAGTACTGTAGTCCACGTCGCAGCATCTGCTGGTTGATGGTTACAGGTCGTATTTAGTGTATTTGTTCATGGTACTTTACGGGAAATATAATTTAATTTCAACGTTAAAGGGTGAAGACAGAGCAGTTGTAAGAAATGAATTTAGCAGTCTTCCTACAGAGAGGAAGCCCTAAGCCCACCACTCCATCGCACCTAAGAATCCCCACAGAGTGGTTGGATGGATACATGATATTCTCCTGAATATCCTTCTGTCTCATTTCTGTTTACATCTGCTCCACTCTCCAGGATCCCTGTCACTTTCCCTTGCCCACCTTTGCAGGGAGACATAGCAGCTAAACACTCAGAATTAAAGAGCAACCCAAGAGCCGGGAAAGTGGTCTAGGCGACTAACTCCTGGGCTGGAGGAACACTGAGTGAAGTGGTCAGGACAGAGCAGAGTCCTTCCTTAGAGGGCTAAACACATGAGCCCCTAAGGAACAGTGTTACTAAACATCTCAGAAAGTCAGTAACAAATCAGGGGCAACCACTAAGCTATTACTTAAGAGTATAGCAATATTTGGAGGGCAGACTACCTTACCAAGAATCAAATGCAACTTTTACTGCAGTTATTAATTGACGACTTGATGTAGTTAAACGATGTCTCTGTTTATTTTTTAGCACTGTGATAATATGGCCAACAGTAACTCGGGGGAGAGGGGTTTGTTTAGCTTACCCCTCCATGTCACGGTCACTCATTGAGAGAAGTCAGGGCAGGAATCTGGAGGCAAGAATTGATGCGGGGACCGTGGAGGGACACCACTCACTGGCTTGCTCTACATGACTCCCCAGATTGCTTTCATATACAACTCAGAACCCCCTGGCCAGGGGTGGCACTACCCCTGGAGCTCTGCCCACCCCCACATCAATCATTAATGAAGAAAAGCCACCCCTCCCCAGACTTCTCTACAGGTAGGTGGACCAGATGCAGGCATTTTCGCAATTTGACTTTTCCTCCTTCCAGATGACTCTAGTTTGTGTCAAGTTGAAGAAAAACAAAAACAAAAACAAAATAAAAGCCCAGAACAAGCGATTTACT